GGATCCGAACCCTCGGGCGGGAGCGCCGCTGCGCTTCCCAAGCGGCGCACTTATCCAGTGCGCCACCTGGCCGGCCCCAAAGATTTTCTTTTTTTAAGTAATGTGAATATTGAATATAAGTGAGCCATTCATTATCTGAAATCCTTTGAATGACAACAAAAGCTAATGTTTAGTGAGTGTTTACCATATGCCAGGCATTGTGCTAAGGGTTTTATAATCTTTAATTTAATATTTATGTTAAATATATATTATATAATATCTTTTTATAATTTGAGATTTCATATTAATAAGTAACATAGGTACCGTCATTATTACCTCCATTTTACAGATGAAGAAAGTTAAGGGGTTAAATGGTCATACTGCTATTAGGCGGTAGGGTCAAGATTTGAGTTAGGACAGCCTAATTCCAGATCCCTGGATGATCTCAACTACTGTACTTAACCACCATCATCTGCTGATGTTAACATCTCAACTGTACATAGGATATTAAAGGCTCTCACAGTTTTAAGGCAGTGTGTCCTGCTACTCTAGTACTTTAAACCTAAACTTCAAGGCACATATTAGTTTTCCCAGGTATAAAATTTGAATAATCACATTTATCTTTCTATTAAGTAGGAGAAACTATTTTTTAAAAGATGGTAGGCAAAAGAACAAAAGTAAAGCAACAAAATAAAAAGTACTAATTCAGAAATTCAGAGTCTCAAGAATCATGACATCAGAACCTTACTGCCACATTCAAGAAAAAAAATTCCCAACTGTGCTTTTGTGCACATAGAACTCTATTTCCATACAGTGAAGTAACTAAATCTCACTACACAGGCTAAGATCAATAACAAAACTTCACATCTAGTTTTCAACATTAGCAGGTACACTCTAATATACAAGTCACTTGCAGATTCACAATGGCATCTGCACGTGGAGTCTTGTTATTATCAGAACTATATTCACTTACACAGGGAAGGAAATTCATTAGCTCTGCTAAAGCCCTTATATATTTTTAATCTTGTGAGCTTCAGGGAGGACAGTGTTTTAAAAAAATACTTATTTTTTAAAAATATGGTAGAAAACCACAAATAATAATTCTTGCATTTTAAACAATATGAAAAAATTTTTGACCAAAGAAATCCACACAGTGTGACTCCATGTATGTAATATTTGAGAACTTACCTATTATGACAGAAAGCAAATAAGTACATGCCTGGGGACAGGGTGGAGGGAGGCATATATCATAAAGTGGCAGAAGGAAACTTTCGGGGTAATAAAAATGTTCTTTATCTTGTTTGGGGTGATGGTTTCACAGGCATGTACAAGGGTATTTCAGAAAGCTTGTAGAAAATAAAAGATTATACAAATCTTTCACATTATTTTCCATTGAACTTTTTGAAGACCCCTTGCACATACGTCAAAACTCAAACTATATACCTTAAATATGAGTAATTTATTGTATATAAATTATGCCACAAAAGTTTGAAAAAATAATTTCACACATTCCAAACTCCCTTGCCTTTAATTA